CCTGCCTTTTACATCGAAACTGCTTGAGAAAGTCGTTTATCAGCAGCTGGTCTCAAATTTAGCTGACTCTGATCTGTTTGAGGTTTTCCAATCAGGGTTCAGGTCTGGCCATAGCACAGAGTCAGCTCTACTGAGGGTCTTAAATGATATATATCTTTCACTAGATCAGGGTACATCTGTGGTGCTTCTGTTGTTAGATCTGACAGCAGCTTTTGACACGGTTGACCACACGATTCTACTTGATCACTCGGAACAATGGGTTGGGATCAAAGGGTCTGCTCTGGATTGGTTTAGATCGTATCTCCACAACAGGACATTCTGCGTTAAGGTTGGTTTATGCTTGACGCGTCCGCGAGGTCCGCACGGCTCCGCGCGGAAAAGTTGAGTCATTTTGCGTCATTTTAACAACCACGCCCCTCTGCCGCACCTCCGCACGGCCTAGAATTTCCGCAACGCGCACCTCGGAAAATTTCTAACCACGCGGACGGTCGGACGCGGAAAAACATGGCGGACCGGCAAGAACTAGTATGGCAGAGGTTCGTAAATACAGACATTTGTATGATTCAGCTATCAGAGATCACCGTGATCAACATGTTGTTAATAATTCTTGGAGAGAAATAGCTCGCACTGTCGGAAAAGACGAGGACGCTGTTAAAAATGCTGGAATGCCGTGTTGTAAACAGTAATTTTTACTTCTACTATGGTGTAGTGTTGGATGCATGCCGTAGAGCTCCATGCTGCCCCGTTCAGTTTGGGAGAATATTGGCTCACCGCAGAGACGAGCCGCATGAACCATAAAATGCTGCGAGTTGTGAAGCACGTTCCATCCGCGAGCCGCATCACCGCGCGGAAAGTGAATGCGTCAAGCATAAACCAAGCTTTAAACTGGGTGATGTTTTTTCATCTTGGGAGGGGCTCCGCTGGGGGGTCCCGCAGGGATCGATCCTTGGTCCTCTTTTGTTTGCCATTTATTTGCTTCCTCTGGGGTCAATCTTTCGTAAACATGCAGTGCGTTTACATGCAACCAGTAACCCTTTTAAAACCCGAATATTCACAATAACCCGGTTCCGCAGGTCCTTGTAAACACCGCCAAAAACCCGGATATGCTCATAACCGGGTTTTTAAAAACCCGGTTACTACACCTGGGGTAACCCTTTTCTAACCCGAATGCTTGGTCGTGTAAACGCACACCGGGATATCCCCATCAAAGCGTGTGTTCTGCGCATGCTCTGTTCGCAAGGAATCTTGGTCTTTTGAGTAGCGAGACGTCTTGTACGCGCCAGAACACCGGAAGTAAACAACAAGCTGGGGGCAAAATGGCGAGTCGCGGCACAGCACCACACTTTGAGTGACGAGGAAATTAAGCGCAAACAAACGCGGTCACTATCTCTTCCGAACTGGGAAACATGTTGTTTTCATGGATACCAGAACAAGAAGAACCGGAAATGACGCATATTGCGTCTGGACGTAGTCCATACGTCCTGACGCTACCCCAACGTCTGCATTTAAATCGGGTTATGCACGTTAGAGGTAACTCTTTCTATTTATGCTTGTAAACGGGTTATTCTGATCAACTCAGAAACCCGAATCCCGACCTTAACCCGATCATAACCCGGATAATGGCTGCATGTAAACGTACTGTGCCTAGCGTTCCATCTCTATGTTGACGATTGCCAGATTTACTCTCCATTGTGTCAGGAGAAAGGTCACTCTATCCAGTCCTTTGTGTCCTGTGTTAATGAGGTGAAGTATTGGCTAATGGCCAACTATCTGCATCGAACGAGGGAAAGACAGAGCTCATTGTTTTTCACCCCAACAGCAGGAATGTGGGTCGTTATGTTGATATTGGCTCTCTTTCTCCCTACTCAAAACCAGTTGTCACCAGTTTGAGGGTGAAAATTGACGTTGGACTTAAACTTGATGCTCACATCAACTCTGTGATCCAGTCCAGTTTCTTTCATCTGAGACGCCTTGCAAAAATCAAGCCTATGCTGTCGAGAGCACACTTGGAGCGGGTACTCCATGCTTTTGTAATTTCTAGGCTTGGTTACTGCAACTCTCTATATGCAGGGCTGGGTCAATCATCACTGCACCACCTACAGGTTGTGCAGAACAGCGCAGCCAGGTTTCTGACTGGGACCAGGAAAAGGGACCACATCAGTCCGGTTCTGGCCTCCCTGCTCTGGTTTCCGGTCTGTTATCGTTCACACTTTAAACTCCTCATCTTTGTTTACAATTTCTTCCAGGGTAGTGCTCCCCCCTATCTAGCCACACTCCTGAACAGACATTCACCATCACGCACTCTGCGCTGATCTGACCAAGGCCTGCTCGCTGTCCCTCGTTCTAGGTGTCGTACTCGTGGGGACCGGGCTTTCTCAGTCCTAGCCCTGTCACACTGGAACCAGTTGCCACTAGGGTTGTCACGGTAACCGGTATAGCGGTAAACCCCGGTAAAAAAGTTGACAATAAAAATAACCGTCCAGTTTTTAAAAAACTAAATTATCTCGGTGGGTTTACCGTGGCCGCGGTTTTGGCGCGGTGACCCTTACCAGCCACCGTCGCTTCAGCTGAAGTTCCCGCGGCGCACACACGCACTTTTTAGTTTGCAACGGCACCAAAACTTTGAAGCTGAAATAATGACCGAAGGAGGAGACGGCAGCGCCCAGGACATCCATCAGCCCTCAAAGAAGACTAACTCGGAAGTATGGGCATATTTTGGATTTCTGAAAAATGCTGAGGGACAGTTAATAGAAGACTGCTATCCCGTTTGCAGAACGTGCAGGAAACAAGTGTCTGCAAAAGGCAGCAACACTTCGAATCTAATGGCACATCTGCGTGACCATCACCCACGTCTCTACAGCCAGTGCAAGGTAAGTTAACATTAGCATTTTAGCTTAAATGCATGACGTGAGGACTTTTGGCTGAGGGAGAATGCAACGAGTCACTATATACTGCAGCCGCAGCGTCCTCTGCCAGCATTTAAACCGTGTCACGGACACCCTGTTGCTGGATGAAGCATCTTATTTGTTGATGATGAAGAGAAATATACAATTAGTTCCTTGTCATTGATTTGTTTACTTATTCAATGCCATTTATACTTGAACATTTGGATTTGATTACATAGTGTAGTAGTTATTTAGTAATTTGTTTAAAGTGGCTATTTATTTTAAATACATATTTTTTAAGGTTGACTTGTACAGTGCTCAAGTCAAGTGTGGACTGGAGTTTTAGATTTTCATTTTGATAATGAAGAAAACAAGTATATGAGAAAACAAGTGGTGTTTCTTTGATTTGTTTACATATTGTTTATGTTTTGAATGTTTGGATTTGTATAATTTAAACCTGCACTGACTACTGTAACATGTTCCAGAAAAATAAGCTATTTGTTCCTTTACTTGTGAAAAGTTGCACTTTTGCTAAGGCTTTGTGTTATTTTAGGTTTAATAAACACTGTTAAACCTTTTCAAAACTATTTCTGTTTGTGTAGAACAGGACTATCTATGCTTTCTGAACATATGCAACACCATTTAAAAAAATACCGCGATAATACCGAAAACCGTGATAATTTTGGTCACAATAACCGTGAGGTTAAATTTTCATACCGTGACAACCCTAGTTGCCACACTCAGTCAGGCTATCCCCATCTCTGCCAGTCTTTAAGAGTCGCCTAAAAACCCACCTCCTCCACTTGGCATTCCCTTAATGTGTTTGAGTTAGGCCTTCATTTATGCTGATTTTAATTCCCTGCTTTCATTGTTCTCTTTATCTCTTGTTTTACCCATTTGTTTTCTACAATGTTTTTACCTGTTTTTCTCATGTTCAGCGCCTTGGGCTTCCCGACAGGGTCGCGGAAGGCGCTTTAAAGCTTTGATTGATTGATGTTACAGTAAAACCAAAAAAAATAAAGGCAATATTAAAGCTACAAACCAACTTTTGACAGATGTAAACAGTTACATCCACGATGGTGAAAGAGGCGTTCCTGTGAGGAGTGTGCAGAGGGTAAAAGGGCAACTATTCCAGCTGAGTATACTGATAAACTGTCGTAAAACAACCAGATACAACTAGGGTTTTATGGGCCTGGTAATCTGGGTAAACACCCAGATGTGTTTTGTTTGTGTGGGTTATCTGAATATGTGCCACATGTGCTTCTGTCTTGTGTAAGATATTCTTGTGAGAGTGACTCTGTTAGTTCTATAAAAGTATAATATCCTACAATCTGAGTATTTTTTGTTTACAGAAAACGTTCCTATGAGAATAAACCAATTTTAAATTATTTGCAAGGAATGTAATGGCATTTATTAGTACTCATATCGGTACTCTGTATCGGCATGTACTCAAAAATAAGTACTTGAACTTACTTCAGTTTGAAAATATCTGATATTGGTGAATTCCTATAAATTAATAAAAATTATCCCCAAAAACATTAAAAACAAACTGATTTCATCATTGTCTGATGATGTTTCCTACTGCCTACTGCTGATGGGCAGCAGGGAGTAGGGACACTTATTGCAGTAACGTGTTTTATACATGTGTTGTGCTTTTTTCAGCATTTTAATCCTCAATGCCAACATTTCCTGTTTTATTCAGTGACTGTGGCTCAGAGTGACTCATACGGGGCTCATCATCTGAAGCCGTTTCCCTACGAGGGCTCAATGTGCCCTGAGCGGTTGATGGTTCCATGTCAGAGCTCTGGAGTAGGTTCTGGATGGCTCAGGTCTTAGCTAGAAAATAAAGTTGCTGAATCAAACCCCCACCCACGAACTTCCAGACTGCTTTCCTGACTAGCTTAGCCTAGCCCACAATCGTAAGCCAGAGTGTGTGCGTGCGTGCGTGCGTTTGTGTGTGTCACAGAGACTTTCAGCATCTGAGACTTTTCCTTCTCCATTTGTGACTAGAATGTTTGCACTCTAGAGCCCTGAAACATCCCTCACAACAACGCTCTACTACTTTTTCTGCTGTCTCATCTATTTCACCGTGACAAAGGCTTAGAAAACTCTCACCTTAAGGAGCTCATACATGTAGTAACGGATATCGCAGTCGGTCAGTTTCTGGTAGAGCTCCTGCGGACCAAATGAAAGATTCGTACATGAAACATTTAGAAGGAACTGCTGCGATATGGTGTCAGAGGTTTCTACTTTAAGACTGTAAGGTTATGCAGCTGATTATTAATGGAAATAGATGCATGAATGGTAGTTCGGTGTCAGCCAAACTCAAGTACCTTAAAATCTGTGTTATTGATGTACTCAAAGACAAGTGCTGGTGTTCTGGACTGCAAAGAGAGGACAACACACGGCTTCACTGACAACAGTAGCAGGTACGTGCGGATCATTAGCATGACCCGATTAACGCGGCTGACACGCCGACATGCAAAACAGCCACAGCGTGTTTCAGACTCACCACTGGGTCTTTGACGTTGTCAATCAGGCGGATGATGTTGGTTCCACCTCGCAGGTTTTCAAGAATTTTTATTTCCCGTTTGATCTTCTTCTTCTTGACGGGCTGAGGATGAAAGGAGGTACAAAGATCCACTCAAAAAAGCTACATACAAGGAAAAATAAAGTCTAAGCACTTTGTCCGTGACCTCAGAACATGAAAATGGATTACTCAGACAATTGTGTAAGACAAATAAACCTACATACATGACATTTGTTACAGGATGGACTGCTGGGAAGTCAAGACATCTCACCTTGAGGATTTTCACCACAACTTTCTCATTGTTTGTTACATTTATGGCCTCAAATACTTCACTGTACTTCCCTCTGCCCAGTTTGCGCACCAGCTGGTAGTTGTCTTGGTTGCTGAAAAGAGAAAAACATTTTAAGTGTGAATAAAAAGCTGTTTGATTATGCTGATGGTAACTGTAGTAAGATATTCTGTACCTCCAGTTTGGCATGTGTGCGTCATAGTCCCAATACTCTCTGTTCTTCTGTGTGTTGACATCGGTGTACACCCGAGCCTTGCTGCTGGCCGGCGAGGATCCGGGCATCGCGAGCTTCGACGCTCCGTGTCGGGAAACTCCCCCTTCCTCAGAATACTTGTTGTCGCGATACTGGAAGGCAGCGCAGCGGCTGTACTGAGTTTGAGGCTCTAAGATCCCTGTGTTGTGTTTACCATTGGCATTGGCTGCTTGTGCTCTCTGGTGAAAAGCACTGACCTGGTCCACAGGGGTGGCTGTGCAGACCGACAAAGCTACAATTATTGACTGAGTGAAGCCCCTGAGACGGATGTTAGACAGGATGGGATGAAGAACCGCCAGCTGTTGGGAAAAAAAGAAAAGAGCAGAAAAACCTGGAAGTTATTTTTTTATTACCGACTTGGCTGTTATCTGCATATAACTGGTATAAAAATGGTCTAAAAACAACAAAAGTATCAAGTGTGCAGCTGCATGCAAATGTGCAAAGTTAGTAAAAATAAATAATCATTAAACAATTAGACAAAATAAGTTACAACTTTGGACTTTTCATTTGCCTTTAGAACAAATTATTGCAGATCAATTCTCAAGAAATTTTTAGAAAAATATTTCTAAAATTTAACAATTTTACATTTAAAATGATCTGTGAAAGCTGTGAATCAACTGCAGCTTATTCAGAATGCTGCTGCTAGAGCCTTAACAAGAACCAAGAGAAGCGAAACACATCACTCCTGTTCCTTAATCTCTTCACTGGTTACCAGTAAACTACAGAATCAATCTCAAAGTGATTCTATTAGTTTAAAAATCACTCAATGGCATGGGGTCAGAATGCATGTCGGACCTCCTTCAGGTACATAAACCCAGCAGGGCTCTGAGATCCTTAGTAAACAGGCAGCTGGTAAAACCCTGGGTCAGAACCAAACAGGGTGACGCTGCTTTTAGCTACAATGCTGCACACAGAATAAATCAGCTTGCTTATGACCTCAAATGTGCCCCAACTCAACTCATGTAACTTTTAAATGAAAATGGAAAACTTTCATGTTTTCATCAGCCTTTGAATGGCTGTTTATATAACACTGCACATTCTGCACTGTAACTGCTTTCTTCTTTCATTTTTAAATCTAAATTGAATTTGTGTGTATTATAATTGTGATGTCGTATTGATTTTAATGTTCTTGTTATTCTTGTTAGTTGGCAAGCACATTGAACCGCCTCTGTGTGTGAAATGTACCAAATAAATAAAACTGCCTTGCCCTGTTCTCTGAAAATCCCTAAAGACTTTGGTTGTGTAGATATGGGCTCAAAAATCCACATTTTTTTCAACTACTATGTACAATAAAATATATAAAAGATGTTTTATTTGATCAGATCGTGTTTCACTTGTTTTGTGATGTTGATCTTTACCTGATCCGTTTCCTATAATTCAACGTTTCTTTCGTAGCCGTTTTAAGTCTATCATAATTTTTTCCGACATATTAAAACTTCCCGTCACCATGTATGTCTTAGCAGTCGTTTGAGCTTATTCACACCTTTCTTAAATCGGTGTATACTTCTCTAAAGTAACGTGTAGCTCTGGAAGTCTGATATATTTGCTGTCTACAGATTCCTCTCCTCTAGGCCCGTTCATGCTCCATCACCGCTATGTTCTGGTTCTGAAGAGCTTCTCCTCTCAAATACACATTTAATTCCCTCAAACGGCTATGAAGGATGTGAACAACGGGCTACTCCACAAGCTAACTAGATGGACCAGTTGTAACTGTCAGGAAGATTAGGTAACATCCTCTGTTAGAAATTCAACTGATGCTAACTAAGCTAACGAGTAACGATGACCTGTTTAGTTTATACAACTTTAAAATACAAACTCTGCCTCAAAAATGTGGAATCACAAAGACATTTACCGTCTGAATTCACATCTTCTTGCATACGAAACACGAATTAATCGCAATAATTATCAGCGTCGTCATTTCGGAGGCTAAAGTTAGCCGGCTAACCTCGTCGTCGGAAGCTGGAGCGCAGAAAACGTCATCAATGGTCGTTGGCTCGCGGGTTAACTTTGATGTCCGCGCGGTGATGTAAGCCCAGCAGGTCCGAGGTGATTGATAATGTGTCTGATTGATTGACTCTGACTGATGGGTGGCGGTGGTGGTGGAGGCACATCCAGCAGTTCTGCGGTAAACATCACCCGGAAGTTAACCGAGACGGAGCTCCTCCATCAGCCAGAAATGTGTGTGTGTGTGTGTGGGGGGGGGGGGGGGGGGGGGGGGGGGGGGGGGGGACCAGAAAATAAAATTAATACACGAAATGAATCAGTCTGTTTGCTCTTCAGTCTGTTTGCACTTACTTTTAAGTTACGGGACATTTAAATATTTTCTTCATAAAGACTGCAATAAATGTCACAATGAAAATGTTTTTATACAATTAATATTCCTAAAATTATTTAAAATACGGGAATCTCGTAACATTATTCAAAAGTTTCATTATTCTATAATTATTTGGTTTTTTCACCATTTTTGTTTCATGGTTTAAAATCTACCATCAAGACTTTTTGGGAGTTTCTGAGTTTTTGAGAACCAGTTGTGTCTGTTTTCTGTGAGGGACAGAGTGAGACATTACTCACTATGCCCAGTGATGTGCATACGACGTTATTTAACTTTATATTGTCTCACCGACTGTTTTTCCTGCATATCAGCTGATAAACGTTCAAAATAGCTACGTGTTTGTTTCAAAGTAGACAATGTTACCATAAACGAATTTACTATTAAAAGATGATTTCAAGAAGACTAAATGCCAAATCAATATTTGAGGAGACAAGATGGGCACAGAATTTTCCAGTATGTCAACGAATGTATGAATTAAACCATCAAACAATTTTAAAATAATTTTGGAAGTGTGGAGAGCTGGATCGTGTACGACCATCAGAAAAAAGTAAAGTAAAATAAATGTTATAGTTTGAATGTGTAGAAGCTGAATAGTAAAAAATAAACTATGCTAAATAGATAAAACAAAATGTTGACTTTATCGTATATCTGCAATTAAACATACATTTGAATTATTTTACTTGCCATTACTAGTATCTTCATTATATTTGGAGTTCTAGAGTTTAACATTTTAGCTATGTCAAAACAAATAATATGTTATGTTACATTAAATTTATATTGGCAAGGTGGATGATCTAATAAATCTAATTTCTACAAATATGGGATTCCAGAGACAATAATGTGATATTTTAACTAAGTCTCCTGCTTTAAATTTGTTTTTATTCATATTTGTTGTGGCCAATAAAAAACAATCAACTTTAATGTTCATCAGCCGAACTGGTTAGATCATGAGCTGGAAAATAATTTTTACATGATACATTTGATGTAACTAGTTTTCAAGTCTAAAATACGACCAAATGAAATCTTATTTTTATCTTTTCCCAAATGAATTTGCAAGATTTTTTTTTATTTGAATGTTCTTGATTCATTCATTTTCTTTGCAATATAAAACAAATTAGGGATGTAAGGATACATTGAAACACTTAAGTGTCACAATATTTCGTGTTATGATACAGAATCGATCGTTTTAAGCAGTGTATAATTTTTTATTGCGAATTTACACACATTTAATAAATTACTTTTGCCTGTTGCAATTCAACCTCCGACCACTAAGTGGCAGCAGTTTCCATCAGACATTGCAATAATGCTGGCCTGAGTTTTCTACATCGACATATACAGTATACTAAAATATATACATCGACACATATATTAAAACTGTAAAGATCACAATATATCCCCTGCCCAATGATTTTCTCACACACACACACACACCAATACATACAGGTGCTGGTAGAATATCATGACAAAGTTGATTTATTTCAGTAATTCCATTCAAAAAGGGAAACTTGTATATTAGATTCATTCATTACGCACAGACTGATGTATTTCTACTCAATACTGAATTTGGTCAGTTTCGAGGTTAATTTTGATGTGTGTGTGTGTGTGTGTGTGTGTGTGTGTGTGTGTGTGTGTGTGTGTGTGTGTGTGTGTGTGTGTGTGTGTGTGTGTGTGTGTGTGTGGTGGTGGTGGTGGGGGGAGGGGGGCAAAGTCCTCCAAGTGCCTTGGGACCGTCCTGCTCAGAATTTTAGAATCAAGACCAATAGAAAAGATAAATTTTAGAAAAGTTGTAACCTCACAGCCCTGCTGAGCATGTACAGCAAACTATATTTAGTTGGAGCTCCTTTGGCCTGGGTTACTGCAGCAATGCAGTGTGGCATGGAATCCATCAGTCTGTGGCACTGCTCAGGTGTTATGAGAGTCTGTGTTGCTCCGATAGTGTCCTTCAGCTCTTCTGAATTTTTGGGTCTGGAGTATTGCATTTGAGCAAACTTTTTGGCTACGCTACCCACCTGTGTTTGTTACAGAGTAATGCATTACTTCCAAACACAGGTTTTTTGATAGGCTACACCATAAACAATGCTTGTTATACATGCATTAGCCTAATTCTGAATATTTGATCAACTGGGAAAATTTATTTAAAAAAAAATTAACTTTGTGATTTGTGAATAGTCATTTTCAGCCCCCTCTGCTGTCTCTATGGAGAATAGCACACTTACTAATTACCTCCCCGAGCCCACCTCTAGTCTGTGGTTGTGTTTGAGTAGTGTGGATTGGTGTATATATGTGTGTGCATGTGTGTGTGGTGGCGTGAGGCATAAGAGAGGGTGTTCGCCCAGGGCACCAAATGGGCTAGGACCGCCCCTGAATGGTTAGGGTTCTTTTGGACTACTGCCAAGTCAGCAGTCTCCCCTATGATTACAAGGTCCACAGCACTAGACTGAGAGACAATTTAAAGGCTTTTGCAGGTGTTTAGAGTTTATTAGCTGATTATGACCAGCTCAATGGCCAAGTGGTAGACTGTCCACCCTGGGACTGGGAGATTGGGGTTCGAGTCTCGGTAGGGTCATACGAAAGACTTTAAAAATGGGACCCAATGCCTCCTTGCTTGACACTCAGCTTTAAGAGGTCGAACCACCAAATGGTTCTCAAGAGCAGCCACAGCTGCAGCTCATCGCTCCCCATAGGGACGGGTCAAGATGCCATCTCACCAGTGTGATGATGGCTTTGAGGACTTTAAAAACCTTTGAGACATATTAGTTTTTGTGTAATGAATTAATCTAATATACAAGGTTCAAGGAATTACTGAAATATATAAACTTTGTCCTGATATTCTAATTTTACGACCAGGACCTGTACAAGCCGAACGTAGTCTTGTCTTCATGAACGCTGACCAGCTCAGACTGGGACTTGGTTTTAACCGGAGTCTGGTCCAAATGTTCCTGACATGCGTTAAAAGTACAGCGCTGTGTTTGAACCAAAGCATCTGATGCATTTACAGAAAGCTGAAATCATCAACTGGAACAAAAACACTACAATTGTTATTATAAGGGCTGTTTATTTTAATATACAGTATGAACAGGACAGGAGTCTTCATGATTTCCATAAGCGTTAAAACTCTCCGTCCTCGTACTCCAGCAGCTTCTGAAGCAGACTCACTAGGATTTAAACCAAACCACCCACTCGAATCAGACCCCTCCCCACAACCGTCCAAAAACCATCTTTTAAATATACTGCAAAGATTGTACACAATATAGAGATCCACACGGTAAACTAAAGAACACACATCTTTTTTATTATTTTTTTACTTTACCTCTGGTATACAGCGACACATAAGTGGCAACTCTGAGGCTATTCTGGGGATTATTCAGGTCTGATTTGGACCAGGAGGCTAAAATCATGTGAAAACAAGGCAAGGCCAATTCAGAATAATAATAAAAAAACAATATATATTTTAACATCTATAACAGTAACTATTGCAACTAATTTTGCGGCATAAGCAAAATAATGCATTGAAGCCTGGTTGGGTCAAACCTCACCGTAATCCTAAACTGCTTTCTGAATGCAGCGAGCTCTTTGATAGTGAATAAAAAAAGCAGGTAACAGAAGCACTTTACAGTGTTTACACAGCGTATACACACAATCAATAATAAACCAGAGTCAGTAGTCATAAATATCACACTGTGCACGTTCTATTGCACTAGTCAGCTGTTGGTCCGACACATTAGGTATGAGTTAATTACCTACATGTCTGGCTTTAATACAAAGTTGCAACATCACAATGTAGGACACTGGCTATACATTTTCACAAATTCACTTCCATTTTTTAGTCTTTTCTTCTTCCTCTTAGGATGTTTTCCTAAATAAACCAAAAAGCTATAATACAACAGTCAAGGTGTGATAAATATTCATGCACAAACAGATGCCACTGCCTAAGATCTAATGTGAGGAGATACTGCTGCACAGGCTGGGGGGGGGGGGGGGGGGGGGTCCAGCTTCACTTAACATGAATTTCTAAACAATACAAAGTAAGTGACAGGTGAAGGTAAATACAAGGCACGTGGACTGAACAGGAGCCGACAAAAGTGCACCCACTAACTGGAAAACTGGACGTTCGGGCTTCCTTCCTTCTGAACAACAGAACCAACGGTTACAGATCAAGCACATGCAACCACACAACTAACAGCTTCCAACGCTCAAATGTTCAATCACCTCTTTTTCATTCTGGTTGGGTTTTTTTTTTAAGAAGGGGGATCCTAACTCCCTCTGTGCCTTTGACACAATGAAGCAGATATTTAAATGTTTACGGTTTCCGACGGTAAAAATGATAAATGGGAAAATGGTTTTAACTAGAATGGCTGAGCGGAGGCTGGCACACATTTCCGTTAAAGTCACATTTGCTTCTCTGAGCTCAGGAGCAGCTCAGTTCACTGGATGCAGGGAGCTTCGGGGAAGTTTTCGCCCTCTGCGGTGTGCTGGACCGTGTGCTCCTGCAGGGCTGTGAGGTCAACAAAACGCTCGCCGCACCACACGCACTTAAACTGCGTCTCACGCGAGTGCACGCTCTGGTGCTTGGCCAAGTGCTCGCGTTGTTTGAAGCTCTTCTCGCAGCTGGCACACTTGAAAGGCTTCTCTCCCGTGTGAACCCGGCGGTGGCGCTGCAGCTCCGATGAGTACCTGAAGCGCTTCTCGCAGTCGGGACACTTTAGCGGCTTCTCCCTCGTCGGGTCACAGCGGTGCTGGACAAACTCAGAAGACGACACGAAGCGCTTGTCACACAGCGAACACTTTAATGGCTTCTCAGTGCAGTGGGTGCTTTGGTGACGCTGCAGAGTTGAATTCTTTTTGTAACCTTTGCCACACACGTCACACTTGTAGGGTTTCTCCACCTCACCGCCACATTTGTGCCGCAGCAGCTCTCCTGACTGACTAAAGGACTTCTGGCAAGAAGCACACTTGAACAGACTCTCCATGCCATGGACCTGCTGGTGGTAGAGCAGGTGGGATGGCTGGAGGAACCCCTTATCGCATAGGTTACACTTAAAGGGACGATCAGCGGGGTTTTTGTGAGTGCGGCGGTGACGCACAAGAGCGTACTGCTGTTTGAAGCTCATCTGGCACTCCTCGCACTGGTAAGGCCGTTCCTCGGAGTGCGTGCGTTCATGCTGCCGCAGGTCAGACGGACGCTTGAAGCTCTTTCCACACGAACCGCAGCGAAAAGGTCTCTCACCTTCTGGCTGGCACTGATGGTGCAGCAGCTCAGACGACTCTTTAAAATGCATCTCACACAAATTGCACTTGAAGAGGTGCTCGCCTGAATGAGCATACATGTGCCGCACGAGGTGAGAGCGGTGCTTGAAGCTCTTCTCACACACGGCGCATTTGTACGGCCGCTCCGAGCTGTGCGTGCGCTGGTGGTGTGCCAGATGGGAGGACTGGCTGAAGCTTTTGTCACACGTGTCACATTTGTATGGCTTTTCACCGGTGTGTATTCTCTCATGGCGGGTCAACTCGGACAAATGACGAAACGACTTATGGCACACGGAGCACTTGTATGGTCTGTCTGGTGCAGAAGCCTCGTATGCAGGAGGAGACGAGGCACCAATCGCCGCCCCACCACCGGATGTCTCCCCGGTGGACGGCTGCTGAGGGTTGGCAGCCGATGAGGTCGGAGTGACGTTTCCAGAACCTGGCCGATAGGTTTTCTCACAGATTGAGCACTTCATTGGATTGTTTCCGTTGCCGTGCGAGTTGTGATGCTGAGCAAGTGAGGTGAGCAGCGAGAAGCCCATTTTACAAACACCACACACAAAAGGCTTCTGCTCCACCTGAACACACTGATGCTCCAGCAGGTCTGTGGCTTGGCTGAAGATCTTCATGCACTGTGTGCACTGGAACGACCTGTCTTGGGTCACCATGCACTGGTGCTCGTGAGGGTTGGCCATGTGAGAAAGGTCATGGCCACAGACGCCACACTTGTGTACTCTATCGCCCCCTACTTGTAAGGAAGACTGCTGGGCTTGAACAGAGTGCTGCTGGGAGAGCTGGGCCTGCTGCAGGGAGGCATCTGGCTGCAGGACAACTCCATACACCGTGCAGCTGAGAGAGTTGTCGGATGACTGGGGAAGTGTGTGCACAACAGCGGGTTGGGCCACTGCATGCTGCTGCTGCTGCTGCTGCCAAGCTTCCGTCATCATTACACTATGGATGTAGGAAGCTCAGAAGATGAGGAAGATTTCCGTTTTAAGTCTTACAGGAAAGAGCATCAGATATTTAAGCCAGTCCTCTAAAGGGAAGCTGGGATCTGTTCACACACTCCAGTGAGACGAGGAAGAAAACCTGGGGGAAACCAGAGTAAAATGAATTAAAACCCATAATACAGACTTGAGCACATACGAATATGAACGCTGCAACTCGTAACAACAAATGGCGCTTTGAGAGCCAGTTGCAGGAGGAAAGGAAAACCATGTCTGCATTAAAATGTTGTTTATGAGGACGAAACTAACGTCTGGATGCATCAATTACAATCATAAATGGTTCGGTAGCGGGCTTGATAAGGAGAAGACTGATTTAGTCCAACAAACCTTCCACATAGCCGATAATTAAACCGGGTTTCGAGCTCAATCTAAAACAGAATAAATGGGATCGGTCTATTTCCTGAAACGTAGCGAAATGATTTCTTCTCGTCGATTTCTACGTGTTTGATGCAATTATTTATATTGTGGTGGACATAATTTCAGTAATCTGTTGCGGTAAATCTACTATAATTTTTCAGACATATGCCATAAATTTGATTCTGTTCCAGGATTTAGCCCGCTACAAGACACTAGCTAGCCAGCTGCGACAGCTAACTGCTAACAACTGGAGCTTCCCTCTAAATAACATCGGGTCTCTCTTGTTTAACATAAAATTAAAACGATGTTTTAGTGAGATTAAAATGTGCAAAGTGGCAGCTTTAAAAGCAGTAAAGGCGAGTGAAACAACTTAGACTGGGAGGTTCTTGGCTCGACTTGATGAAAGGCCAAAATAAACGGGTTCGATTTGCCGCTACGTTGCTAACAGACCACAGATCAGATTAACTGGTCGCACATTAAAGAGGATTTGCTGCAAACGGACCCCAGATCAGAGCTGGCCTCCCCGCAGCTGTAGAGAGAAACCTGCTTCTTGCAGCCAAGTCTCGCCGCATCTCCAAAAATCACCATTCACAGATAAAACAAGACACCGTAACTTACTCGATATAATTATTGACGTTTTTCGCCGCTGTCTCTCGACTGAGCTTGACAACCGTGGGTGTTTTCGGTACACGGAGGACCGGTGATAGAGGGGATGAGGTGGAAGCCGGACGCCATCCTCCAGCAGCAGACGGACGGACACCGGAAACCGCCGTGCAGCGACTCGCTGCCGCCGTGCTGCAGCAGCAGCTACAGCCGCGGAGGAGCACCAAATAAGCACAAAACGAGCCGCGATGGAGATAAAGAGCTATTTGACTTCTTTTTAAAAGCTTTCAAACAAACACAAAGACGGCGACAGCTCGTGGAAAATATTATAAAGTGTAGTTCTGCACTAAAACCACCAGGGGCGTATTTAACCCGGGAACTCAATGTAAACAGTTATCAGTCCAGTTATTTATAACCTCAGAATGAACGGTAAGATTTTTAACATACAATATACTTTTAAGCGCATTAAGTGAATTTATTACCATTTTCCTCAAGAGAGCACTGTTAATTCTGATGTTAAAATACTACTTGTTTCTACACAAGGATGTTGTAAATCTGTGGATTGTCAATGGATGTACTGTACTTCTGTTGTTCTAATTAATGCTATATGGCTTAAAATTTTCACATTGTCAGTGTAAATCCTCAGATTTCATGATCATGAAATTCCTTAATGGATAAATAGAAGGAATGCGGACTTCCCTTGGTGGTTGTTGACTCTAAGACTGCAATATAAGAGGAAGTCCAGTTTCTTTCCTTTTTTATCACCCAGTGACTATAAAATAGAAACAAACAAGTAAGGACCATATTATAACACGTGCCACCTGACAATTATTAGATCTTGATGTTTGACTGGAGTTAAATACATTTTAATAAGGTAACAAAAATCATTGGTTTAATAATTTCTCAGCTTCTGGCCAAAAACTCAAGAGTGACAGAAATGTGTTATCCAGTCTATCTCTGCTTTAAGTATAATCTCCTCGCTGTGTTATGAATTACCTGTGATTGTTAAGTTCCTCTGTTAGGTGACACAATCCCCACTTAACAGGGATCATCTACTGGAGAAATACGCAGGATTCCACTCAGGACTTCATGGCTTCACTTTTCATTTTCCTTTATTTCACTTCCGTTTCATATTATCCAAGACGGAAATAGGGGATGACGAAGCACGAAGCAAGGCAAAGCCTACGAGCAGGTGAAAAACCTTAAACAAAAACATTGTGTGTGCTAAGAAACAGTGTAAATTGTGTAACATTTCATTATAAACAGCCATTCATAAAATGCGTGATTTCAATGTGATATTCATTTATAAATGTTAGCACGAATATATATATATATATATATATATATATATATATATCATTAATTCATTCGGATATATCATTAATTCATTCGGATATATCATTAATTCATTCGGACCCAAACTCACTTAAATTCATCACTTCAGCTATTTGTTTCACTCTTACATAACAACATCAAATAATGAGCAGGTTTGAAGTAACTTATTAACAATCAAACATCAAACTGACTTCTAAACACCCGACACAAACATTTATGATGCGCACCGGAGACCACAGCTCCGAGCTGCGCTTAACATCACACATCAGCTGATCAGCATGCGCACACGCGTTACAAATCTGCGTCTTACCGGCTGCCTTTCCAGTCTTTAGATGAGTGTCATTTACCGCTTCGGAGGATCACCACGTTAGTGCTTCCTCTAGGAACTTTCACAAACAGTTCTCTCTCCTGACATATCCTACATAAAACATTTCAGGCAGGAAATGCGCGGTGACGTTCTGAGACGTGGAGCGACGCGCGCACTGACCTTAATTAGTTCCAGCTGTTTCATCTACCACCTACCCCGTGTGTCTTATTTATTTTCTTTATTTTTACATATTTTTTCCATTCTTTTTTATATTTTTATTTTAGTTTTTATTTCAATCTAAATATGCTGTATGATCATGATTTTGACCGCACACCTCCCACTCGATATTTGTGTGGAATCACAAGAAATATCGCAAGTCATGAAAAGGTCAAGAACATCTCATTTCTGTCCCTCAATAGGCAATAAGACAACCAAGCGTCTAACATCTCTGTGTAAGATAACAGTTCTGTCTTTGCCTCCACCCAGACATGATCGGTCTCGCCGTCCGTGTCCATCTTTTGTTTTCACACCAGGTGCACAGTAACTTGGTGTAACTTTAATGTCAACATCTCTCACAATGCCTTCACTGTCCGGGTTGACCCCAACTACCTTACCCAACCTGTACTGCCCCCTTAAAGCATTCTGATCACTTAGCCACACAATGTCACCAAGGGCGACATTCCTCTGGGCAGTGTGCCACTTGCTCCGGATAAATAAATTAGGACCTGCAAGTTGGCTCCATGCTCTCCAGAACTTGTCCACCTCCGTCTGGATGGCTCGGAGTCTTTTGTACGGGTAACTGGTAAAGTCAAAGGTCTCTGAGTCTCCTCGATGAGACGCTCGCCCAAGCAGGAGGGTGTTCGGTGTAATGTAGTGAATGCAGTCTTCACGGCTCTGGGTCCTGGCATCAATTGGCCTTTCATTCACAAGATTGGCTGCTGTATAAAGGGCTGTCTGAAACTCACTGTATGTTAGTGAAGATCCCTTTCCAAGATTTTGCAGTGCTCTTTTCATCACGCGTACAGCAGCTTCAGCAGCGCCATTTCTGTGTGGAGAATCCGCTGGATGAAGCTTCCACACCCATTCAGTTCCGTTCTTGGCAGAAAGATCCTCCAAACCTGCTTTGTCCTGATTGTCGAGGAATTTATACATCTCCTCCAAAACCGGCTTAGCTCCAATGAAATTGGTACCAGGATCTGACCAGATCTTTCGTGGATGTCCTCTTATTGCAGTAAATCGCTGGTAGGCTGTTAGAAAACCCTCTGCTGACGGGTCGTTTGCGATATCAGCATAGATGGCTCTGCTGACCATGCAGCAAAACACGATTCCCCAAACTTTCTTCGTCACTCTCTTCTTAACATCATCCCTCACGTGGTAGGGACCGAATAGATCTACTGATGTGAACTTGAAGGGAGGGGCAGGTTCTGTCCTTTCAGGTGGCAAGCAACCCATGATTTGTTGACATCTCCGTGCCCTGGCCTTTCTGCAGATCAAACAGTCATCAACGATCCGCTTGGCGATCCTCCTCCCTTTTATGACCCAAGCCTTGGATCTCATCCTTAGCAAAGTTCCAGCCACCCCTTCATGATTCTGGTTATGGGCTTCACGAGCTAACAAGCAGGATACCCAGGCATCAGAAGGTAAGATGGGAACGCTGGCTTGATCTTCATCATAACTCTGTATCCGTCCACCACAGACCAATAATCCTGTGTCTTGATCCTTATAGACAACCAGCCTATCTCTTGTGGTGGTGGGTAGACTCATATTCTTTTGTGCTGAAAGAAAGACGTCTCCAAGGGCATCTTCCCTTTCGTTGGTCGTTATAGTGCCAACTAATGGAACTGCCTCCCACTGTGGTTTGTCCATAGCTTTATGATGTCCTCCCAGTCTTCTTGCTGCTCTCCAGAGCCATGCCACCGCTTTGATCAGCCGGGATAGGCAGCTGAAGCGCTTAACATCTATCAGATTCTGGATGGTTGGCTCTGCGGAAGGTCTCCTGCTCTTGGTTGGGGGATTTTTTGGACCCTTCTCTGCTTCAAGCTGTTTTGCCTTGGCCCTCGTCAGTGCAGCCACAAATGCCTTTTTCTGTAATTTATTGACATTTTCTTTGGCAGCGGTAGCTAATTCCTTAGCTGACTTAACCGGCCATTCCTCTACCGGCAAGCTCAGGAACTTTGGCCCGTTTTGCCACTTGGAGTCCTGTCCGAGCTCTTTAGCTCCAGTGCCTCTCGTAAGGACATCAGCAATATTTAAAGGACCAGGAATCCAATGCCAGTCTTTGATATTTGTGTTGCTTTGAATCTCTCCAATTCTATTCGCAAAAAATGTCTGGTAGCCATAACTGTCTCTCTGTATTGCTCCGAGGATGGTTTGACTGTCGAGGAGGTGATACCATTTTCCAACTTCAATAAGGCCATGATCTTCAAAGTACTTTTTCAAACGGGATGCGAACACGGCACCACATAATTCCGACTTTACTGTGTCACCTTTGTGCTCTACCGGAGTCAATTTGGCCTTGGATTCCACCAATCTGATCACCAGCCCCTGTTCATCTCCCCATCTCAGGTACATCACTGCGCCGAAAGCCTGCTCACTTCCATCACAAAATGTAATGGCTAAAGGTTTGCTAGCGAAGCCTAAGGGAGTCAGTGACCTGTGGAACTTAATTTTTGCCAGTTCGGTGTACTCTTCGAAAAGTTTTATTGCCTCATGTCGAAGATCATCTGAAAGCGCTGTGTCCCATGTTTCTTGCACCGAATATCCTTTTCCTTTTGTTTCCTGAAATGCCTTTCGCACAAGAATTGCTCCCATCTGTTTGACTGGCGTTCCTAGACCAACCGGATCGTACAATCCTGACACCTGGCTGAGGAGTTCCCTTCTTGTCAGAGGGTTTGGTGTTGAGGCTTTAATCTGATCTTGTTGGAGATCTTGTCCAAGCCGTATCTTCCTCTTCCTCTTCGAAAAGTTAATCACAGTCATGATTTGAAGCATGTCCTCTTCTACCTTGTACCTCAGACCTAGTGCTTTGTTGTCACCTTGTTCGATCCGGTTTGGTACAATCACGGATGTTGCTTCTCTTTCCCCCAGTCTATTTCCATCCTCCTGCCTCCCACTTTGCCCAGAGAAGACCCAAGGTTTTAGTTCAAATCCACCCCCTTTCAGGATCTGGTCTACATTCTCTGTTATGGTCTTTAGCTGGATAAGGCTATTGTGCGAGGTGAGTATGTCATCAACGTAAGTAGCATTTTGTATAACATCTCGTTCCTCTTTGAGGTGAGTAAATGCAGGAAGGTTAGCAGTTTCACGCATTGCAAGTTGTGCAATACACCCAGCAGGTTTATCTCCCATATTAACTCTGGTGATTGCATATTCTTCCAGTTCTTCCTCTTCTGTGTCCCTCCAAAGGAATCTATGCAGGTGCATTTCTTCGCGTTCCAACCAAACTGAGTTGTACATCTTCTTCACATCTCCTAACGCAGCATATACTCCACAACGGAATCTGAGGAGGACTCCGCGAACCTGATTTAGAACATCAGGACCCTTCATTAACAAGTCATTCATACTGACTCCCATGAACCTTTGGCTGCTGTTCCATACAAGCCTCACTGGGGTTGTTGTTGAGTGTGGGTTTGGTGCAACAAGGTGACTAACGTACCACACCGGCCCAGTCCATTCATTGATCATTTCCTCTGACA